TATATAAACTACGATAAAATACATATAAAACTATTATTTCACTAATTCAACAAAATAACTAACCTAAAATCATGAAATTTCTGATTGGAAAGTGCTTTAACTGGACTCGTATAGATGACACGTGAACCACGACGTAAACAAATAGCGCAGGCGTATTCTGCAATCACCGTTTTACCGGAAGATGTATGTGCTGAGACAAACACTGTTTTGTTGTTTTCAAGACAAAGGATTGCACGTTTCTGAAATGTGTCAAGCTCGAAATCCCAATTCAATGCTGGATTCTGAATTAACTTTGTTAAGGTCGGGAGTGGTGTTGCAGTATCCTCCTATGCAGAGTGATAATAATCATAGAAATGAAAATTTACGGACGATATGCATAAATGTATCTGTCAAAAACACTATGTAAATCAAAATACAAAATGTAAATCAAAATCCTGTCGTTCCAAATAAACAAACTCATATTTCCATGCAGCGATTACATTTTGTTCCAACTTCAGTTTGAATTTTCTATTGTATAATTAATTGGAGGTTAAAATGTCTCACCACCCGAGATAAAAAGAAACAAACGTCTACTACACACATTTAAATTCATGAGGCCATTCATCGGTAAGGCTAAATGATCCATTCAGTACTTGGACACGAAATTGACTCATGATCGTTTTCTAGTTCCTCAAAAATCCCCTAGGCTTGAACCTCAAACGAAAGGCAGGAAGTGCGAAAAGATGCTTCAATTCAAAGGTTAGTTTGAGTATAGAGAATAATGATATTTATGGGTGATCTTGATATTCTGTAAGTCGCTGAAAATATGTCAAAATTGGAAACAATATCGGTAGTTGTTTAATCAGAAGACACGAAACCAATCTTTTTTAGCTTTTTATGGGAAGTCTTTGTCAAACACTGGCTGGCGGAAGTATTTTTTGAACCTTCTCACAGTTCCTGGGGGCTTTTACGAGGAAATCTAGCAATAAACATAAATTAATTTGTAGGGTGTCATTTTAATCTATTTGCTAATAAAACTGACCAATTCTAGACATCTTTAATGAACGGGTGTCATTCAAGAATGTTTTTTTCATTAACAGAGTATATAACAGTTGTTTATGTAGTATTGGGTAAGGAGGTGTATACATTCTGGTTAATGTTTAAGTGAACAAAAAATAACTAAATCATGCAAACGAAACTATTTAATCTGCCAGGTGTTTGGTGAACTGATGCAAATACGTAAAATACTTTAAATACAACACTGTCAACGTCCTCAACTGCAAAACGTTAGTAAAGAAAGTTCCACACAAAAATCAAAACGCTTGACTCGTTATCCACCCCACAACAAGCACATCTTGATCACATGATTACAACATGAAGATAACCAATCAATAAGCATTCCAAAACATATTACATTTCAAAGGAATTCCAAGCTTTCTGAAATAAAAATGTGTGTGAACCAATATGGAGATAATTAGAATAGGGGTTTATTTAGATTGCAGAGATTTATAGTTTACATAACATGATACTAGCTGCATAAATCTTTAAAATTAGGAACCGTGGGACGGCTGTTTCGTTCTAGAATGGAACTACTCATCAGGGAGTATTCACGACCCCACCGAGGACTGAACTCAAAACCTCCAGATATGAAGGCAAACGCCCAACATTAGACTACTGAGTCTGGATTCAGAAGTATACATCACCGGCTATAATCGAACCTTGATATTACGCGAACACCTTACAATGTCATTGGTGGATAAATGTCAGACACACAAGGTTGAACTATACCGGTCACGGTATCTCACTAGAACACGGAGAATAATCTGTCGCAATCAGCCACTAGTGATGAACGAAGATTTAATAGTATAAAGGTTTAAGCTGAACACTAAGCCCGTAGGTCCTCAGTTCGATCTCAAGTGAGATGGTGGATGCCCGCTTCTGAGGAGCCCCGTACCATCATGAAACAGCTGTCCGGTGCTTGATAGTTTCACTGGTTATCTAGCTGAGGTCAGTCAGTGATGTAAAAAATGTGAAATAGTTTACAATACAAATTAGCTTTAGCTACATTACTGTATTATATCCTTATACACAATCTTTCTTTTATATATTACTACCATTGAAGTAACTACTATGACTTTGGTGTTCATCTTGTTGTGCTAATGAGGTATGGCAACTTGAACTGATGCATATATGCGCCTGGTCTTACGTTGTAGCTGACTGACTGACACTACTGTTGGAAACCAGAAAACATTTGATGACTAGGGCGAAAGAGTTTCTTTCTCCTATCTACAACGGTTGTCTAGCTGGAGCCAGTTTATGGTGTCAACTACCATCAAGGTCTTCACAATCCCTCGATCCTAATGAAAAGACAAAATATTGGATATGGAGAATAAATCCGTAATTCATTATTGCTTGATATCTGTAGTTTGTAAAGAACCTATGATCAATTAATGAAATGTGTTGAGCCTACAACAAACAAATGATCACAATTGCTGTCCTAAATATTTCATATACGTTAAGAAGAAAAATGGGAATCATGTAACCCGGTGAACTGCTAGAATGAAACAGTGGAGAGAGGTAATTGTATGCTTTCACTCTATCTGATGTGTTTGTATACAGAGCATGCAGGAAGTATGGCGTAACGTCGGAATTTCATAGAGGGTGAAAATTATAACCAATAAATAAACAACCAAGACGAAAGCCTGTCCGCTTCTCGCAAGTCGGTCTTTTATATGTTTCAGTGTGAATTATGATGGAAACCAATAGTTCTGAATCGATTCAAAGTAAACTTATTCTGTATCTTTGTAGAATTGTTGAGTCGGCTTCCGGAGAACTTCAATGGAGCCTCCAGAGGCCAAAAGGGAACCGAAGAGTTCTAGCCAGTCAGAGCACGATGGAGCATTCTAGAATCATCAAGAGTATTTTGCAAATAACCATACACTCCACAGTAGGCCTGGACAAGTTTTTTTTGGAATAAGACCCTTAGTGACACCTCTGTTGAAGCATATAGCCCAAGGTATTTCAAACCACAAATTCCTTTCCTCCGTAGTTTCCATCAGAGAGTACTCCCACCCTTTCCTCCTGGATAAACTCCCCAACCAACTTCCCTAGCTCATTTGATACATCTCCCACTAAGTCTAGCTATCAAAATACCGAGCTAATGAAGAACATTCGATCCCTCAATTCAAACTCATCTCACACCCGCGAGGGTTACGACGACTTTATCCGAGATACCCTCACCCATTTTAACTTAGTAGGCCACTTGCTTAATATGTCTTATCAACGCTCTATCGATCTGCAACAAGAAGGCGGATCTAGCCCTTTTTGTATTCATACATCAATCATCACTGATAATGATATTTGAAGCATGGACAAACAGCAATATTTCCGACCGAAGTATATCTCTTGACAATTATTTCCTATATAGAAGTGATAGATTGAATGGACGAGACGGAGGATGCCTTATTTACGCTCACTACTATGTGATATGCCTGAACTAAACAAAATGAAGGATTCAGTGTGGATTGTATTAAAGCCATCGAATTCCGTTACCTTACTGCTTGGTTGTGTTTATCGTCAACCTAACGCATTAACAGATGAAATGGCGGTATTATCGGAGGTATTCACACCAGCATCATCTGTTCCATTCACAGGCAAGCTTATTTGTGATGACTTCAACATGCTCGAAATTTCGTGGCTCCCAGTCAAAGCGCCGAGATGTTATGAATCATTTATTGAATGTCTAGAGCTTGGAAAATGGACTCAGTATGTCAATAGCCCTACCAGACATCAAAACATCTTGGACTTAGTCTTTACCAGTGGCCTCATTCCGAATACTTTGTATATTGAAAAAAAGTTTCCAGGTAGTGATCATAACAGTCATATGCAGCCTTAATGTAAAAACCACAACCACCATCTAATCCTCGATTGTATCCGGTCGGCAATTTGTTGGGGCGTAGGCATTGATAACGATATAAAATCGTATTCCATTTTTGAATTCTCGCTCTGACGGAACTTTCTAATCTAGAAACACACGGACTACTGTTAATTGGGGTCCAATAGACTTGTGCTGCCTGGTACTTACTGCGACACGAAAGCCAGTCAAACCGAACAGAAATGCCAGAGTTACCAGACAAACACACACGAAACAAGCGTCTCGAATCGAGAAATAGGATGTACAATTTTAGCATTTATGCAGTCTTAAGTACAAGGCTCGGGTGTACAGCAGATGTCTATATCAAGACTTTATAAACAACCAAATCTACCGTCCGATCTGTATTAGCACCAGAACGTTGAAAGAATCCAGTTTGAATATTAATTATAGCTTCAGAAAGGCATAATCAGAATCTGTACTTGGTGGTAGCAATTAAGCTTTTGACTAGTCTGTAATTTGAGTTCGTTTCAACACGACAAAATTGTTATCTGCTTGATTGTTTGAATTACTTGTGATCTGAATACAACTCGAATATAAGTAATACTGTCAATCCGACTACATTATTGCGCCTACGACTATTGTTGAGGTTAAAGTCAAAAAAGTAGTTGAAATCTACTACTGAAAACCACGTTTTTGACAGACAAACGGGTGCCTCATCTGTGTCAGACGGCTGAAGTTGGTGAAGGAAAAGGAAATTTACGTCCATCCCAAAACATCCTCGGACAAAAATCTATAGAAGTTAGGGAGATTTCGAACGCTAATGGGGTAATCAACAAAACTCACGATTATTAGTTACATAACCATCTCCATAAAATGAAACTGATTCACTAAGTTTCATCAGTTCTATTACAATATCCAGGTAAAATTAAGAAAGCTATCAATAGGATATTTGTGATAAGTTAGGATAGAAACACGTTAAGCTGACGGAAGTAAAGTGAACCACTTAACATAGCTAGGTGAACAATTGCACAACAACAAAGGAGCACGGTCGTTGTTTTACACCAAATATTTTGGATGGAGACCCATGCGAGATTGGTTTTAAGAAAATTGTCAGAAACAAAGCGGTTACAAAGCATTTAAAACTTACGATTGTAGCATAGGATTCACGTGGTTTGCAGCTCCTTATTCGTCTTTTAAGAAACGTGATCGTTTCTCTTTTGGGTAGTAAGAAAGTTCCTGCTTCATTTATCTGAGCTGTTAGTCGAAGAAAATATCCCTTTGGAAAACACCAATTCTGAACCACATCCTCAGAAGCCATTCTCAATAATTCATCAATTATACTAGGGACAGTTGGTAAATCACCAGAACAGTCAGGTGATTTACGTATACAACTCCATAGATTAAACTCCGTCTTAGTTGAACGAAGAGCCTGTCTACGAATTTCATGGATGGATTTCATAATTGTTGGTTCAACCTACGGAGATCAGGCCTGTTTCCAATAAAACTCACCCTGGTGTTGGCAGTATTTATTGCACAAGATGTAGCCGTAGCACATGACCGTTTAAAATTAACATCAGGATCCACTATTTTCCCCGTCATACCATCTCTATGTATTGGGATATTATGATACGGTATTTGGGTTCGTTGGTGAATTAAGTCATGTTTTAGGGAGTCCGGGATTAAGTTCTCATTCTTTGAGAAAGAATGTTCGAGGAAAGCGTGAACTTGTAATATCTGACTCATAGTTCTATATTCTGCTATACCTGTTAAGCAACTGCAACTTAGGCCTGTAACCAAATTAGAGAAACACCAAAACAACAACAATAGAGACTGGTATTTCATTTTTCTTTCGGGAGTAAACAAGAGACAACTTCGGGGGTATTTGTAAATCACATCTCACAACTATGGATCGCATGATGGGCTTACGTGAAGTACGCAGTGCCCATAAAATTCCACTTACCTTTCCAAAATCTACCTTGAGTACCCTAGAAACGTGACGGTAAAAATACACGGTTAAAACGTTAGATTCCATTAAATACGTCGCCGTTTCGTTTCAGAGACCTTGAAGGGCCTAACAGGCGGCGGTCATTCCGTATTTCGGGGACGATTAGGTCGTTGAGTTATGGGTTTTCGCGCTCATGTTGCATGGTTTCGAGGGTCCTGGACGTCGTTATTTATTAGCTATTAACAGTATTTTTCCGTCACACGTCAATTTTCGTAATGCTTGTGCTTATTACATAGCTTTTATTCCAGTTTATTAGTAGTTTGAGTATTTGTTGCTCACAACCTGGGTGAATGTTTAGTCAGCTTTATGTGGTTATTTGCAACAATGCAAGTCAAAAATAAACTAAAATCAGAGTTTCATGCAAAAATGAGCTCTAAAACCTCTTACACTTGAGTCACCTCCCTAATTATGGTGATGAGCACGGATGTTGGTAGTTGTTTATACAATGTAGGTTGAAGCATGTAAGCGTTAAACTATCTACGAATATTATATAACTTGCTATCATACAGCCATAAGCAGTTCTATTTATCACAAGTATTATCGTTTTCGACTGAACAGACATATTATGTAACGTATATGAGAATAATTATATACGTAAAACATGACGTCGATAGTTTTTTCTGCACGCTTTCTGAACATCTATAAGAACTGCATGTAACATTACTGTAAGAGGCACACTAATTAGTCGCATATTCTTCATAAGTAAAGGGGGGTGTGTTTATTTTGAGCATGGTAACTGAACCATGTCGTAGTTTGTAGCGTGGCATCGAGTCACAGTTGACTACGAACACCGCTACCAAGAAACACGTGCCAAATAAATCAGAAGGCGGATTGGAATTAGGTTTATTCAATTGGCGATCTCATGGCATCAAACGAATACCAAGATCGTGCCAAGAAATGGTACAAGCAAAAGCAGGAGAACGGAGTACGTGCGAACAATGACAAGAACCGAGAAACAATGATGGAAGGTATTGAAAGCACAAAATGGCTGTAATTAGCACAGGTAGACAAAAGCACATTAAAACAAGCACTGGTACAGTTGGTTGTAATAATAATTGTTTTTATCAAACCAGTTGTGTTCTCGTGATACAAGTAGGTCACTAAAAGGTAATACTAATTTATTATGTGTCTGTTATGGGGTTTACGAATGAATTTCTGTAAACCGAATCAGCAGTCACTAACCAAATTATGAACAAACTTCTAATGCATATTGACGAGTAATATCAAATAGTTCTTACTAATGATTTCATTATTGCATGTAAACAGTGAATTGTTAATACCATTATGAATGCTGTATTAGGATTTTTCTGATTAACTATTACCAACTGAATTTTTCGATTCCGTTTATTTAGTGTCTGCAATTTCTTTGTCAATACTAAATGACTAGGTTAAACGCTAGGATGGTTAGAAAATGAAGAGAACTTTACAAACAAGACACTTATAGGCACATTTTGTTAGCTGGTATTTCATTTTCTTATTGAGTTTGATTCTTATAACTTAGTTTAATTATTTGTTTCACAATTGAATTTTTTTCGGAGTTGCATTATCTGAGAAGGTCCTCATATCTTTCCTGATATGCAACTTACGGCTTCTGTCAATTGCTGTAAAGGCTCAAACCTTTCTAATGACCAAGTCTATGCTGGTGAACAGCTTGGCGAATTTCTGAATATGGAAGATTATGTGAAGAAACAATTTACAAGTTGACGATAACTGTGTTTTATATTAGCTACTGCCAGGTTTATTTATCTAATGAATTGATTAAATTTAAATATAAATATACAGTCATTAGTATTATTAATCTTGTAACTATGTATAATTATAGTCTACTTCGGCACTAATGCTACTTTGATAATAGACTTAATCCGAGAACGGTAAATTTGTCATGTGACTGTTTGAACTGTAAGATCTTTCGTGGTGGCCACATCACTAAATACACTGACTAATCGTATCATGATAACTAACAAGGATATTTGGTACTTCTAAAGAACACGTTTGTGTTGAGGACAGAATAATATATTTAATGTGAATATTAATACGCTACATATAATGAACACGTCTGCAAGACTGAGCCATGTCATCTGATTGAATGAATGTCTCCATGCCCAACACTGCCGACCTTCTCTAAGTCTCCCATATCAAACATGATGAACTCCAACAGGAAAGACCGATCAATTGCGAAATGTAAACTGCATAGTTGATTATATTCTTAGACATTTTGGTCGAGGAAAAATGGATAACACTCGCATCTTTCATAGTAACAACGATTTCACCACCCAGATGAAGATGATAGTATTAGCAGTTTCAACGTATACGTCATTAATTTATATACCGGAAATTAACATTGAAATGTCATATAGTTTAACTAGTATTAACCAGAGTTAGTAACAGTCTCGGCTCTGGATCTAATTACTACCAGTCATCACTGAAAATGAGAACATTGTAAGCTAACTATAAGTTATCATCCTATTTTGATTTCATAACCCAGTGTTTTTTTGGTCACTTATATTATTGTTCCAGTTTTCGTCGTAAGCTTATCGCATTTAATGGTTTAGTGTTACTTGTGAGGATTGATCACTTTGTCCATTTTTATCCATGCATACTCAATGCTTTATTCCCTCAACTTCAGTGGAATCGTTGCCTTATCCACTCAACTTACTGTTACAATAGAGTGAGACCATTCATAATTTTGTAAACATGGTGAACGACAATATCAACAATCTTAGGAAACATTACTCCACACTCCATAAGCGTTTTGTCTAACATAAAAATAGGTCTTGAAATATTTAAGTAATTTGTCCATGGTCGTTATATTAATTCGTACCAGTTGCATGGATTGGTAGTTAATAACGCTTCGGCATTCGAACAAAATTTTCTTATAAAGGATATCTTGGCTAAAATATCGTTTATTTGGTTTATCCCAGTTGGTGTTTTCCGCTTACCTATTTTATTCCCACCGACTTTGGATCGGCAGTAACCTTTAAAGAGCTACAGACGAATAAATTAATATATTTGTAATATCCCAATGAGTAGAAAAATCAAATTTTCTGATGTTTTGTGGCTTGATGTAAGCCATTTCTTCAGAGTATAAATAACCAAATCAAAATTAATCCACGTTTAAATAGTATAAATCGAACAACAAGAATATTATCTGATCAATCAAACGACAGAGCTGAAGAAATCAGTCATGTCATTTCGGTCAGCGTGATCCATAAGCAACATGTATGTACATTTGTGTATATGTAAGTGTGCACTGTTAAGGATGGAAAATGTGTGACGTTTATGGTGAGAAAGGATGGAGTTTTGTTCTCTGAGCTGGATGGTTGAGTCGTGAGGCTTTCATCGTCTTTCTAAACGACATCGTCAGCACAAACTTCAGGTAGAAGTGAAGTGATCGAATTTCTCGTGTGGTTCACAGTTTGTCCTGTAGACTTCGATGTTGATTGGTTCTTGTTGACCTTTAATTTTTATGTAAGATAATAGTGTGAATTGTGAATAATATCGGACTAGGTGGCTAGGATAGATAGTCCAAGTAGGATGTATGGTAAGGCATTATTTTCTATTGAGAGCAGTAGGATTAAGCATTATATAGAAAGCTACAGCTACTCTCCTTTCCTTGTAATTGGAAAAACCTTTTTGTAATATTTTCATATTTTCGAAATCGATTTGGTTGTCGTTGAAAATTGCGTGGACTGATGTCGCCAGTGTAATTTGGAGTTTATCCAGTTCTGTGGGATTATTAGGAGATTTCTTTGTGTACCTAATATGTTATTTGGTACGAGTCAAGATTTCACGAGATAACTTTCCAATATAGAAGATATTACAATCGACAAATCCAAATTTGTATACACAGCTCTGTTTTTTCAAGCGAACTAAAGTATTTCGAAGTGTGTTCGTTGCTTTGCAATATACTCTAATTCTCTGTTGTTTTAAGATTGTTTGAAATTTTTCTGTTGTGCCATGGGGGATCGGAGGACCCCTAACGTTTAGAGAAGTTTTTATTTATCTATCGTTCTACACCAAATCTTTATATGATTAACAACTTGTCTGTCGATGAACCGTGTTTCAGATCGGTATGATTAAGGATTTAATCTAAATTTCGTCAACCGGTTGAGTCTCCACTTTGTAAAATAGATCCTTTCACAGTTCCATAAAGTTCTAAAGCATAACTAGGTGTACGCGGTAATGCCTTTACTACTGTGAGTAATTGTGCACGTGAATCGCTCACGCCGTGCTCGTAAACCTCAATGTCTACGTAGCAATACCAAACCACGATGTTGTCCAGACAAAAAGCGATTAGTTGAAATGATTGTGGTATCAATGTCTTCAACTTAAGAACCTTAAATGTCTGTTCTGTCATAGCGAACATGAAGTACAAGGATGAACGAGAAAAAATATCTAATAACACGAAAAAATGTCACAATATATAAAAATTAAAATAAAGCAATAATTTATGAGATCCCAAAAAGGAAGAGACTTACAGTTTGCGGGTTGGTGTAACAGCTCACTTCGGCTAACCAATGAAAATGCCACAAGTATTTCTAGTTTGACAACACTTTGACCAGTAACAACTTCTGTGAATGAATCGTGCCCACCTAGTGAAATCAAGTTAGAAGCGAGGTGGTTTGAAGATATATATATATATATATATATATATATATATATATATATATATATATATATATATATATATATATATATCGAGGATCGATTGGTCTAAACTGGCTATCGATTGCAGGAAAGTTTGAGGACGGAGTTCTCACTCGTGATCTGGTGCGGATACATGACAAAGCGCCTTTAGCTAGATGAGTCCATTAAAACTAATGTGTTCAGCAACCAGACTTACAGAGCTACTTATTTTGAGGATTTATTTACTGCTATAGATCGCAAAAATTTATTGATGCATCATTCCTGCGGGTACAGGAAGAGCAACATTTGATATCGAAAAATCAGTTTAAAAGTTGAAAGTATAATCAACTTAAAAATACTACTACAAAGAACTTCTTATAGTAAACAGTTCCTGTCAAGTCTCCAAACATTGTTGCATTCCGATCGATATTTTTTATCGTAAAGAATATTAA